GACAGTAAAATAAAGTAATTTTCGAAAAACACCTGTCAAATAAAGTAAACTGAAGCAACTGAAGCAAAGAAATAAGAGAAACACAAGAGGAGTGTGGGTTCTGGTCGCAGTGGTAAATAGAAAAAAAAAAAAAAAAAAAGCAGCGTAATTACTAGTCATCAGTCACAGGAGGTTTGGGAAAGATTGGAGGAAATTAGCTGAATGACTACAAGGTGTCTGTAGCGTACACTGTCAACATAATGGGAAGAAAGATTATTTGTTGAACATATATTTCAAACAGAGGCTCAATTCTGAACACATGGAGGAGAACACAGACTTTTGCTTGGCGTGGATAATCACAATGCAAAAGATCAAGACCAGTTCACTGTTATCTACGTTATCAGGTAAGGTTCAGGTTTCATTTATTTTAAAACCAACATAAAAACACAAAAGAAAAAAATTGCCAAAGGTTTAGAGAAAAAAAAGGGGAATACTTTACTACCACCACTACTATCAACACTACTGCCCATTACATGAACCCCTGGCCAAACAAAAAACTTCAAAGCTTCAAAATCAGTCAAGAGTCTTCCTAGCAACAGAACAGAACACTTTCACATCTGCTGCGCAATCAAAATTAACTTTGGACACACTGCACTGCTGCCTTTTACATTCTTGATTCTAATTTCATGCCGTTATAGAAGTATGGTGGGTTGAACGCTCCATTTGCTAGTGTTTACATCTGCTTTCTCAACAGATTAATCAATCAATGAAGAACAAAGCGCTCTCCAAGTGTATTTATAGATTATGCTCTCCGGGTCAGTCGTGACAATCTTGCAGTGATTACTAAGTCAAGATTGGATATTAACAGTAATTGACCGTCCGGTGACATGCATCCATTGAGTCTATATACGGACACTACTTCATATGCATACAGTAGGTCAGTGTGCATGGCAAGATTTAAATAAAAATAAAATGAAGAAAAATATAGATTCTCTACTCAAATACTGATACTTTGCAGCAAATGTCATTCACATTCCCTAGGTTTGTGATGCTAACTGTAGGCATGGTCTGTCTGAGGCTTTGTTAGACTTAAATCTGAGCTTTATTTTAATATATTTTTGCCATAAAGAATTAATTTAACTAGAACTACATAAACTGATTTGTGCTGTTCTCTTTCAGTCTCTTACACATAAAATTATAATCACAATCGCTTTACCAACAGTTTTTCAGTTAGTCACACTTATTTTGACCACGAACGCTCATATTGATCACAGGCTCCTCAAAATGTGTTTAAATTCATTTTTTGTTTCTCTTGAGTTTTCAGACAATCTTAAATCTTTTTTGACAGTCTTTTCTAGTGTGTCCCTTATGAACAATGGTAACACTTCCAGCGTGATATCACAGCAAAGAATCAGTAATTTTAAATGGTATACTAAAAAATAAAAAGTAAAATCATGCTGGAAAATATATACAGATTTCAGACCATGTACTACCCACGTAAGATTTCAGGTACAATCTAAAATGTTCTAAAAAGGTTAAATGCACATGATGCTTGAGGCGCTAAACTAGACTCAAACAGGTCCTCATTTGAAGGAAACTATATCTCCATGGAAACAAACAAAGGCCACCACCAGGGTAAGTCACAGGTCAAATCTGTGGAGAAAGGATCACACTCACACTTAGAATGTTCATGTTCTGAAGAAATGCAAGGTGGACAAAGCAATAACATCTCCATTGAGACATCAGGTAGCGGACCATCCTCCAGAGAAGTTACATGGTGTACTTTTAAGTAAACATACCTTGATGTGCAAAATACTTCTAAGTAGGGATGGGCATTCGATGAAATTTTCTTAATCGATCGTCGGAAGAATTAACGATCGATTATCGATTAATCATTAACGTTTTTATATTAAAATGATCATCGTTATTATTACTATCTGCACTACTAATCTGCATAAATAAATTCAACTTTACGACATATAAACCATAACGACTCTAGAGCCACATCAGCCCGTTTGACATTATAATGTGTTTAATTCAGTTTTGCGCAACTCTCACAGAAACAAAACTTAAAACCGCATCGCTAATTTCCATAAACTCAGCGAAGATAAAACTACAGCTTTTGTGCGCTGATGCGGTCAATTTCTGTGTGTCTAGTGTGACCAGATTTGCATTTGTCAAAACCAGGACACCGTACGGGGGGAGGGAGGTGGGGACTCGTCATCGACATTGCAACTCTCACCTGGCAAAGCTTTTTTCCACTGGACATTGAAACATATGTGCTGCTTTGTACACTGTGCACATGGACTCACACTTGTCCCGAACGCAACGGAAAGCGTGGAATGTCTTGTACAAATCATCGTTAAATACGCATTTGTGCTTCGGTATGTTGCAGACTGACCGACTGTTTGTGTTTGCTCGCTCCTTCTGAGTGCAGAGAGACACATGTAAGGACCCCTGTTTGGTCACGCTACGCACAGCAACCTACATTCGGTTTGTCGATTAAAATTAACGTAATCGATGAAATTCTTAATGATCAATTATCGATTAATCGATTAATCATGCCCATCCCTACTTCTAAGTACCACCAGAAAAAGGCTTCAATACTTGTACTGGCACCACACAGTGAGCTTGTTTACTTGAATGTATAATAAGGGTAGCTTATATGAGATTTTCTTGCATTAAACAACCACCGAACCAAAACCAACTTATTTGTTACATCTTTATTTGCATTGGGAGATACTGAGGAGTTGGCACCTCTCCCAGCTCTCGTCTAATGATTCACAGCCCTGGCCAAAGTATAAGAGAATACATTTGGAGCCACTTACAACCCTCAAGCTCATAAGAATCGCCTGCATTATTTCACCGGACACTTGAAAAAGGTCCGGCAGACACTTTATACAAATTGTACTATAGCCACTAGTTTGCTTTGGCATCGGTGACATCGTGTTTGGAGTTCCGAGCTGGAGCTGTCATTGACAAAAATGCATTATAAATAAAAATGACGTATGGTAAGATTGTGTTATTAGAAACAGAAATAGTAGCACACATGCAAAGCTAAGTAATCATTTCTGCAGCAGGTCCTTTTGTTTATATTCGAACCTGACGCCAAGTAAATTGTGATTCTGTTTTGTATCAGGAAGTGGAAGTGATTTGTGGAAAATACCTTTGCAGTGTGTTGAGAGTCTGTCTGACCCGTGATACATTCCAAGTTTGGCTTGTGTTGCAATGTGAAGTTTACTTGTTTATTGTTAATGAGGTACATGGAGGCTAGAGATGGTTTGATCGAATGTTTGTTCATTATTTTATTGACATTTTATCACTAACTGTCAAAATTTTCAATGAAGAGTGGTGAACATGTCATTTTATGGGGAAGGAGGGGAATCTCTCAACTGCTTGTCTTCATGGATATGTATTGTTTTGCCTATGTTTCACAGTATGGCATTACATTTATTTATCTCAGGGATTTCATTTAGCAATAAAAAACACAGGTAACTTAATAAATTCAAGATAGAAAAAGGGTTAATGTCACAAAACTGTTGAATTTTCCAAACATCTCTGTGGTGGACCCTGCTCCACCAGAAAAGTAAAATAGTGCGCCATTAAACCTGATTATTTTGTGTAGGAGTTTGAGTCATACCAGATAAAAACTGAATCTTGAACATCATATTCCCACTTCAATTTTAAACTATGGGCTCTTCAGATAATCACCACTGAAAATAACTCTTTTGTAGGCATATATTACCACATGACGTCTTCTTACTGTATCATTTGTTGCTTTAGTTTGAGTTTGAGCTTTGTTTACTTTTACTTGAGTCCAAATTTTTCACTGGTTTGGACTTGGTTAAGATCGGTTGTGTGTATATAAATATGTACACTCATGCTATCCCGTTATTAAAGCAGTTTGAATACTGAGAGCCAAATATTGTTTTTGGTGATTTCTGTTGTTAAAATTTCAGATTTGTTTTATTAGAGTTGCTTACTATGTCAAATGGGATGGGGGAGGACAATTGTAAATAGAATGCATCCGTTCATGTCCGAAGGCAAAATGGAGACATAAATATAAAACAAGACATGCTTTGAACAGTGGGAGCTGCTTCCTCTGCAAGAAATATAGCCTCAAGTGATGTTCGCGGATGTCCATTTGTTCTTCCATGAGGATGCTAGACGCTAACCAAAAGGCCATGTGTATAGGGGAGTCATTCTGGTGGTGATTTGCAGAACTTAACCCCAATTGTGTGATTCTTAAACATCTTTACATCCTTTTTCCACTCTCTTTCTATACAGTGACTCAAATCATCAGAGTAAAATAAATGTCATTGAGTAAAATAAAAAATGAGGGTTAAAAGTACAATTACCCATCTATTATTATATTATGTAAGGTTACTAAAGCAAATTTTGTACACACTGTAATTCCTACATGTTGCAAGTAGCATACTGTGATTGGAGTAGGCAAGGTGGGTGAAATGTGTCTTGCCAAAGGGCACATTGATAGTCTGTGCGGAGACCTTCCAGTTGTTTGGTGAAAACTGTTGCCTACATATTTTGGGCTGTAAATGTGAAATAGTGTTAATTATATGTTTTGGACTTGAGTTTTTTAATGGAGTTTTATTTGAGATATAATCAAGAAGCAATGTACATATCATATAGGCCTAATATAACACTTTTTGACTTAAAGATCCACTGTGTAAAACATGATGAAGAGTCCACCATCTGTTTACCTTTGCGATGTTTCACTGTATGACATTAAGTTACAGGTCAGATCTGTTGAGAAGTGAGCCCACTCACAGTACAAATACATGCTTTTCAGTGTATTTCTGAGCAATAAAAACACACATACTGTGGAACATTCTGGGCAATAACAAGAACATCTCTAGGGAGACAAGCATGTGGCAGACCCTCCATCAGAAAAGTTACATAGTGTACCTTTAAGAAATCCATTGCATTATAAAACTTCACAGTACACAGTTTATACCATCCATCCATAGGGGGCAGTAAAGATATATATATATTGTACTCACTGTCTAAACACTGGGAGCAGACAGTCTGAGTAGCTCCGCACTTCTGGACTACGCCCTCTCCTGGTGGACACTCTTTACAGCACTCCCCATCGTCCGTGTATTGTCCTGAGTCACATGACAACAGGAGGGCCCGCTCCGTCTTTGTCGTCCCCACCAGCGCCACCTAGAGCATATACAGACAAATAAAGACGCCGTTACCAAATGCACTATTGCATGGCAAATCAAGCTGGACAAATTGATGAAGATTACTACCAGGTGTAAGACTGTTCCTCAAATCAGTGTTGATCATAAATCATGTGGGGGGAGTGTATTGGACACACTTTGAACGTGGCGATTACGTGGCCATAATAGCTCTACCCCCGAGGTCCATCAGCTTTAATAGTGAACTCCTGACACACCCCAAAACAGGCACAAACCGTGAAATCTCATGTGCGCAACACTATTCAGATGTCCACACGGATTACTGTTGAAAGGTGAGAGGAACTGGGCACCATTTATACCTTTCTAAGTGATTTAATTTCAACATTGGCATCAAAATCTTTATCTGACTGGCACCATAGACTGCATATAAAAAGACATAGCTAACCCGACATGGGGGCACTTCCGGCGCCATCGACTCTGGCTCCAATTCACTTTACACTAAAAAATGTTCACCTTCCTCTGTAACTGCTGTGGTGAGCATGAGTGTTGGTGGTGGTTGGAGGGGCAGATGGTGCAGCCTTGTTTCTGTCATTTTGCCCGAGGGCAGCTGTGGCTACAATAGTAGTTTATCACCACCGGGTATGGAGGGAATGAATAATACACCAAACTGTAAAGCGACTTGGAGCATGTGGAAAAGTGTTATATAAGACTGAAGCAGTATTATATTATCATAACACAATCTAAACTATCAACATTACCTTAATTCACACAGTGCATATTTAACTCATAATGATAAAGCTCGTATGACTTTTTAACGCAAACAAATCCTTAATTATACTGAATGTATTTCAAATTAAACCATAAAGCCATCCAGGCCTGGCTTTAACTCTATCACACCGTAATGGTAATGACAGGTGTTTTCTGGTGTCTGCACAGCCAGGAATTGACCACATTGAAGAGATTGGATCAGACAGGCTGAAAATGGGCAGGTGCTGAACTCAGGCTATCTCACTCCTTTTAATTGGTTTGCACAGATCTTTAAGTTCATCTGCCCTTAAATCTGAGCCATTATTTGTAATCTGTACAGGATCTTAGATCATAAAAAACTGAAGAACTTCTGTCATCTTAAAGGTCCTATATTACACAAAACGGACCCTGGTGAGCTTATAGCCACGTTATAATGTCATTACCCCCCAAAAAACATACCTGGAGTTGTGCTTTGTTTTATTCACAGTTTTAAAGTTAGTAGCTACCTTTACATTCAGTTCATAGGCTGCAGTTTCCAGGGCTGAAATCATCAAAATGATTCTAGTGAATGTGTGTGGACTTTAAAAACGCAGTGGAGCACTCCCTGCATGATATCACAAGGTGGAACAGGGTGTTTTCTGTTTGAGAGAAGAACCCAGCGTAAATATGCAGAGTTTGTGTATTAAATATGTGTGAATGAGCACAACTCCAGATAAGTTTTTGATGAAGAAACATTATAACATAGATCAGAAAATAGGGGCCCTTCAGTCTAAATCTGGATTTAACCGAAGATATAAACAGAACACAGCTCCAAATACCAATCCATTATTTTACTCCCTGTGCCACTGAGATTATAGGAGCCTGTCTAGAGCCAGTGTGACGTGTACCTCAGTTTGAGAAGCATCTGGTCAGAGACGTAAACAAGATATGCAAAGAAACTCTCTAAACTTGCCTCTTTGTCTCTATATTTAGATTTGGTAATAGCTATTCTCTTTCCCCCATGTTCACTTATCCAATCTCCTCTCGCTCTCTCTCCCAACTCTCTGCGCTGTCCCCTCTCTCCCTCTCTTTCCTTCTCTTTGGTCCCCTTGCTCATTTTCCTTTCTCCCTCCTCCCCCTTTCTTTCTATTCTTTTCCCCTTTCTCACTCTTTTTTCTCTCTCTCTTCTCTCTCTCCTCTCTCTTACTTTCTTCTCTCTCCCTCTCCTCTGTCTTTTTCTCACTCGCTCCCTCACACGTGCTCTCTTTTAATCTCTCTCTGCCTCTTTCCCTCTCCTCGCTCTCTTGTCTCCTTTCTCCATCTCCTCTCCTCCCTCTCTCCTCTCCCTTTCTTGTCTCCACTCCTCTCTCCCTTTCCTCTCCCCTCTCTCTTCCTCACCTCTTCCCTCTCTCCTCCCTTTCTCTCCTTCTCCTCTCTCCGCTCATTCTCCTCCTCTCTTCCTCTCCTCTCTCCTTTCCATCTCTTTCTATCTCACTCCTCTCCCTCTCTGCTCTCTATTGCCCCCCTGCCTCTTCTCTCTCACTCCCTCTTTCACCTCGCCTCTCTCTCTCCCTGTTCTCCCTCTCCTCTCTCCTTTCCTCTCCTTCCTCTCTCTTCAGTCCCTCTCTCCTCTCTCCTCTCTCTCAGTCTCCCTCTCTCCTCTCCTTTCTCTCCCCTCTCTTCCCTCTCTCCTCCCTCTCTTCTCTCCTCCCTCTCTCTTCTCTCCTCTCTCCTCCCTCTCCTCTCCTGTCCTCCCTCTCTCCTCTCGTATTGCCTTGAGTCGATGCTCTGTAATACAGTACAAATGGCACGCAGCTTCACTGGCAGCACAACTGAGGCTCACTCTGCAACTGTGTTAAATAAAAAAGGATTCCTCCAACAGACGTTTTAACTACAAAGCCAACCACTGTCTTTGCATCCTGTCCTCTCCCGTGGCTCTTATTATTTTATGTCAGAAGATCTCATTTCTTCCTTAATTCACAATTGCTGAGAAATCTATTGAATCAATTTCTCTCCTCTCCTCCTCCGTGCTGCCCATGGGTCCTTCCTCAATTGCTTTGACCAGAGCATTGGAAGCACACTTATCCTCTAATTGCTCCCTATATTACCTTTTTTACTCATAGATTTCTGCGTCGTGTTTATAGATGACATTTTGAGGACTTTTCATCATTCAGAAGACAGAATACTTACTTTTGAATTTGAATTTGTTTGACAATAGCAATTTTGTCATCATTTTAAAAGTGACTTAGCCCCTGTGTTTCAGTGCCATACAGTGAAAAATTCCAGGCAACATTTTGATGATGCAAGTGACAGACCCTCCACCGGAAAAGCTACACAGTGCACCTTTAAAACCAACACACTTTTGTATTTTGATTGCATTTTATCTTCTTGATCAAAATTTTAAGCAGACTCTTAAATTTTAAAATGTTTTATCTTGTTTATATTGTTGCAATATTGCAGTATCCAAACCAAATATTCTCCTTCCATTATAGGTGCAACATTTATAGTGGATGGTTTGCTACCTGCTTGTCTCCATGGAAATGTCATCATTTGTCTAAAATGTTCCACAGTATAGATAAAACTGATCTATCATGAGGGAGACAAGCAGGTTACAGCACTACACAACTTTATTAATAAGGAACTGTGGTATTTTTGAGCAGTAGAAGCACCATATTGCATAAATGCTAGATGGATATGTTTAATGTCATACTGTGGAACATTCCAGGCCAAGCACTAACATCTCCATGGAGACGAGTAGGCAGCGGACCCTCCACCAGAAGTTACACAGTGCACCTTTAAGTATCCAGTGACATTTGCAGCCACGTACTTCTTTATTTACTATCTGATCCCAATTCTGAATGTACCAAATTCCCAGACACAAGCTTGCAGTACCACGAGACCCTTGAGAGACTGATTTGTTAGCTCACTCTTACATTTGCTAAATATGCCCTCAGCTTATTCTAAAATTAACGTTTCGACTTTGCTCCGTTGTCCAATTTTACGGCCAATTTGACAGTTTATTTGTAATGTAATTGTAGCCAAAGTGCAGCCAAGCGTATGCCTCTGTACCAGCTGTCATAACAGGACATCCCCATTGCACTAACATGACCAGAGATGAGGCGGCAGAGAGAGGGGCACGCGGAGCAGCGCAGCCCAATCAGAGCAGCTGCTGTGGGGATAATAACAGCGATGTGGCCCCTTTGCTCCGCTCTGCTCCTCTTATCAGCTCTACCAGCCTGCATCCACCATCCACCGTTCACCATTCAGGACAGGTACTTTTTCACTATAGCACTCCCAAACTGTTCACATCCTAATGACTGGCTCAAATTCCACATTTCATTTATCCTTGAAAAGTTTCTTGTCGAGATTAGGTTGGATTCTGGAATTAAAATATCTCTAAAATAACTCTATCTGCAGTAATGAAACATAGAAATGCAAGAGAAAGACTGCACAATAAACTGGTGGTCTGCTTAGACACCTGCCACCCAGTACCCCTTTTTAGCCATGGGGTTGAGAATGGTGAAAAATGAGGACTGTTGCCATAGCAAGTAACAATTTAAAACCAAATATTATGCTTTTTGAATGGGAAAAAAGTTGCTTGTAACAGGACGCTGAAATCCAGGCGCAGGTCACTACTCGAATTCATATGGTTTGTAACATGTTATGAGCATATTCATCTGACATACAGCATGTTTTAAACCTGATGCCCTCCCCAATGCAAACTTCTCAATTAACTCAAAAAATAAAACCAATGAAATAAGGATGGCTTTCTAGAGAATGGACTTTATCAACTTGAATCTACTTTTGTCATGCATCCAATCATATGTACTTGCACCATGTATCTCAATGTGTTTCCTTCAATGTTAATGAATGAATCAGTGACATATAAATAAATAAGAGAGCTATGATTTCTACGCAAAAAAAGCCATTTTAATATTTACTGACATCACAGTATTATAAAATATATGACCAAATCTGTTTCAGTATCTTAAAAATGAAAGAAGCTGACACAAACTCATGAATGAACCTGTCTGAAAACCTCTCCCAGCTGATTGTACAAAGTGAACGCACTCACCGTAGCGCACCAGACGAGTAGTGATACCGCCTTGTTCATCCTCACGCTTCGCCCAAGTCCCATAAAACAGATGTACACAGAGCAGTGAAGGCAGCGCTATGTAGAAAAAGAACAGCACGCGGAGCTGGAGGAGGAGGAGGAGGAGGAGGAGGAGGAGGAGAAGAAGGAGGAGGAGTGGAACACAGCGGGGCAACTCATTTCTAATCCAACGTTTTTATCAATGGCTCAAAGATTCACAAGATTTTTACACACGCGCGTGAGGAAGCAAGCAAGTAGGCAAGCGCCGGTCCAGCCTGGATTGGGAAACTCCACATGCGGAGAGAGATAGAGATAGACAGAGAGGTGGAGACACAAGTGCACCCTACCGCAGCCAAACAGCCACTGACATACTAAGAGAGAGGGAGAGGGAAAGAGAAGAAGACTTGACAGAAGAGAGAGAGTGAGAGAGAGAGAAAGAGGAGAGGAGGGGAGGGGAGGGGGGTATCGGCTGCAAATGCACTGCGGAGGAAAGAAGAGAGGGCTAGAGAGGAGCAGGGCACGTTCACAGTCTACTGGGTTATGAGTCCTCCTTTGCTCCCCTGTAGCGGGATAGGGCAGCACGACTCAACCTGCCCCTCTCCTCCCCTCCTTCCCTCTCTCTCTTTTTCACTCTCTCTTTCTCTCTCTCTCTATCAGTGCAGGCTTTCATCGCGTCTGAGGTCTGGTTGAGTGGTATGAAAATGATTTACATGTATTAATACTGGCCAGAATGAATAATTAATGTCAGATAATTTCAGCAGTCACGCAGCGCATTCAACTGAATTAGTCACCTATAAATCATGCATGTTTTTCAGCTAGGATTGACCAGCGTTTTCAGCACCCGCAAGCTAATTAAAGTTTTGTTTTAGTTTCAAACATGGATAAGTTTGGAGATTTGTGCCTGTCCGGACAATTAAAAGTACCCTATTACTTATAATTGACTCTTGTGAGATTTAAGCCATGTTATAATGTTGCTACCGCCTCAAAAACAGACCTGGAGTTGTGTTTTGTTTCATTCACACTTTATTATTAGTTTGTCTACTTCTCCAAAACTCAAAATTCTCTGCTCCTTTACCTTTAGTTCAGAAGAGTTTGGCAATTCCCAGGTTAAAATTATTCAAATGATTCTAGTGAAGGTGTATGGAGTTTAAAAACACAGTGGAGCACCTCCTGTATTACCACATGACATCACAAGGTGGAGCAGTGAGTGTTTTTCGTTTGAGAGAAGAACTATGTGATTGTTTTGCCTGGAATGTTCCACAATGTGGCATTAACTTATCTGTCTTTATGGAGACAAGCAGATGACACCATGAAGCTAAGTGAGATCTGTGGAGAGGCGACCCTGCTCATATTATTTTTCATGTATATTTGAGCAACCAAACACATCTGATTTGATAAATGCAAGACAAATGTAATAACATACTGTGAAATCATAGCATCTCCATGGAGACATTGGCAAAGTTTCACAGTGCACCTTTAATATTTTTCCTGGACATTCCTAAAGGATAACGAACAAATAAGGGTGGAAACTTGACATTTTCAACTAAACAATATATTTTTGTAAGAATTAATATATCTTTCTTGTCTCAGCTTGTCTACTCACACTGTCAGTTTTACTGTGGATCTGGTTTGCCCACCACAAAACTAGTTCTGATACAGAGCGGGGAGTGCCAACGTGGACCTATACCTCACAAATTTAATCACGACTTTGTGGTTGAAAACTCTCACAGCCAACAGCCAGTTATACCACACACTTTTGGCGCTAATCTAAGTTCTTCATTGTCTTATTTTCATTTGCTTCTGGTAATCCTCTGCAGATTTCCCAGAATTTATACCCTGTATTTAATTACACATGTGTTTTTGATACTTGCGTTTCTCCTCCAAATGTGTAAATGAACCAAGAATAATATTGGAAACACTTCACTTTTGACATCCATATTAAGCAAAGTTGACTTTTGTGAGACTGAAGCCAGGTTATAATGTTGCTACCTGTTTTGTTTCATTCATACATCTTTGCATAACCCTTCAATATCAGTCTGTATACACATCAAATGCTCAAAAATCTCTGTTCCACCTTGTGATGTCATGTAGTGGTAATTTAAGATAACAGCTCCTTTTGCCTTTTGTTCAGTAGAGATTGGCAGTTCCATGGCCGATATTATCTAAATGATCCTAGTGAAGGTGTATGGAGTTTAAAAACACAGTGAAGCACAACATGACATCACAAGGTGGAACAGAGTGTTTTTAGTTTGAGAGAAGAACTAAATATGCAGGGTGTATGTGTAAAACATGTGTGAATGAAACAAATCACAACTCCGCTATGTTTTTGATGAGGAAATAATATTATAACATAGATCAGAAAATAGCATAATATGGACCCTTTAAGTGAAAAATGTAAAATAATTCAAAATAAATTAGGTCAACAAAGATTTTAGATTTGCTTTCATGTTAAAACAAGTTGTATTTATGCGATACATGCTATGCAAATACACACATCTAGGCCATATTTGATTGATTGAAACGCTCTTTGCTTTAGGCTCATTGGCTTGTAATCAACCAGCATTTCTGCCATGTACCACCAGAGGGCGCCCCATCTTTCAGCAGCTGACTGTCTGTGGGATGGTCTTGAGTGTAAGTATGAAAGATGAGGCTGTTATTTCACTATAACGCGTGGGGTACTCAGCCAAGACACTGTTTGTGGAGAAATCATTTTTATTTATCTGTTTGCACTTGGCTTGGCATTTCAATTGAGAACAACCCAGAGAAGTGTTGATTCAGACAAAGCTTTTATTAGTTTGGTACCAAGACAAAAGTATCAGCTGAAATGTGAACAGAACTATTTTAAAGGTGCACTGTGTAACATTTCTAGGGGAGGGTCCGCCACCTGTTTGTCTCCATGGAGATGTCATTGCTTTGACTGGAATGTTCCACAGTATAGTTTAAACCAACAAGCAGATTACAGCACTACGCTACATTACAGTTCAGATCTGTGGAGAGTCGCCTCAACTCACAAAAGGCATTATGATATTTTTGAGCAATAGAAACACTCAAAATGAACAAATGCTAGATGAATATGTTTAATGTCATACCATGGAACATTCCAGGCAAAGCAGTAACATCTCCATGGAGACAAACAGGTGACAAACCTTTCACCAGAAATGTTGCGCAGTGCACCTTGAAATCTTCTCGTTTCCTGTGTTATTGCCTGAAATAAAATGTGTCTCAAATCCCTCACAGCCTTTTTAGTGAAATGTGTTTCTGAAGGTGTTAGGACGGTATCTTCAGACACAGTGAATGAATATTAAGAGCATTTTGAGACAATTTTCTTTTAGACTTTATTTTGCCTTATTAAAAATAAGTTTAAAATGACACTATTTTCTTAGCGTATACAATACAAGGGTCAAGGTTTATTTATGTAGCACATTTAAAAACAGACAATACTGCCCCAAAAAGTTTAACAATATTGATAAAAATGGAATATGAGAATGCACAAGTAAGAATATGAGTATAACACAAGTAACACAATAAAGGGAAAATCAACTTGAGTTAAAATCTGGTGTTAAAAAAAAGTCAATTTTCAACAGCAATTAAAAATCTAGACTGTTAATCATTGCCATTTAAAACAAATTAATAGTCAAATCGTTTCCTCCAAAGTCTGCACCACTCCACTCCACCTCTCCATTAAAAAGCTCCAAGCTCATCACTGACTATTAGGGATGACTGAATCTCAATAATGATTTAAATTTTATTAATTGCACAAAAATATTCACTTTCCTGCATGTCCCTGTAGCATCTTATTTATTCCCTTCAGCGAGTTTATGAACAATTTTTCTCAACTTTCAGAGGCTAGAGCGAGGTTTTATCGAAATGGCAATGATACCAAGAACTAGAATGCCTTACACCCTAACAACTCCATGGAGACAGGTAAGGTTACATAGTGCTCCTTTAACATAGGCTACGTTCAGACTGCAGGGCTTAATGCTCAATTCAGATTTTTTGTGAAATCCGAAGTTTTTGCGAGGTCGTTCACATTTCCAATTAAATGTGACTTGTATGTGATCTCCAGTGTGAACATTAAATGGCCCAAAAGTGTCCCGCATGTGCACTGGAGGACATGATGAGGTCAACCTCAGCGAGCGTGCTCTGTGTTTACGGAACTTGTCCAAACATGGACGCGACCCTTGAGCACCTGGCGATTTTAAAGTTCCTCTCGTACCGGAGCCAGAACATGAACAACTTACTTGTTTTAAGGAGGAGATTGAGAAAGAGAAGGACAAGGTTTTTGGCCATGGCGTTTTGTGGGGCAGTGGCATGTGTGGGATGCGGAGATGTAGCCAAGAGTGGTAAGTGGAGATGTGCTTCGCTTCAGTGACACGGAGTTCAGTAACAATTTTCGCCTACTTCAGCACAGAATAGTGATGTTTGTGGCTTGTTGATGACGTGTAGGTCGGACGAATGCGCTTTGGCCGTTCAGACTGAAGTCACATGTCAAAAGATCAGATATGTATCGTTTTAGGACCACATATCCAAGTGGCCTGGGTCACATTTGAAAAAATCGGATCTGTGTCGTTCAGACTGTCATTAAAAGATCAGATACAGGTCACATGGGCTACGTTCAGACTGCAGGGCTTAATGCTCAATTCCGATTTTTTTGTGAAATCCGATGTTTTTGCGAGGTCGTTCACATTTCCAATTAAATGCGACTTGTCTGTGACTCCAGTGTGAACGGTAAATGGCCCGAAAGTGTCCCGCATGCGCACTGGAGGACATGATGATGTCAACCGCAGCGAGCGTGCTCTGTGTTTACGGAAGTTGTCCAAACATGGACGTGAGCATTGAGCACCTGGAGATTTTACAGTTCCGGTTTCCGCCTGCTTCAGCGCAGAATAGTGACGTTTGTCGTTTGTTAATGACGTGTAGGTCGGATGAATGCACTTTGACCGTTCAGACTGAAGTCGCATTTCAAAAGATCGGATATGTATCGGTTTCAGGACCACATATCCAAGTAGCCTGGGTCGCATTTGAAAAAATCG